ACTCGGCCAGTCACATCTCGATGGCAGTTTGGCAAAGGGTCCACTATCTGAGTGAAGGAAGTGCCACTAGCAACAGCAAGAATTGTCGATTCTTCTACCTTGTCATTCCCACTTTGTCGTTTGGTTGCAGAAAAGGTGTCCAATGTACTTGAAGCGTAGCTTCTACGAAGAAGTCAGAAGCAAATATAATCGACCGCAAGAATAGCATGAGCTATTGTAGTAGGGACCGGTCATGATGTTCCGCAATGGTCATTCAAACTGGCGAAGTTCACCGCAGTACACTAGCCCAAGAGCAAATCACCGTGGGCTTCGTAGTCGCTGCCGCTGGTCTTCTAGTCGCTCGTCTAAGCTATTGGAGGCGGATGTCTAAGACCTAAAATGCTAGCGTTTACAAGAGGATTTTCGTCTTGCTTTCCGTACTGTGTGTGTCCAAATGCAGCATAACCTGCCCGGTGGAGAGCTTCGTCAAGTAAAGCGAGGGGAAACAGCGTCAGGTCCAATGAGTCGTCCGCATATTATAGCTATATCATGTGTATATATATGTACGCCGCGAGTGAGAACGGGATAGCAATGGCTCGCAATTACATGCGCGCTTGTATGAGTATAGAGGATATTCTGCGACGTAAAATTGGGTCTATTTGCCTCTGCATATAAATAGTGCCATGCTGCTATAGTGGAGAAACCTATGACAGTCCTGCACTTCTGATTCTAGCATCATCGTATAGTCAATATCCGTCCATCATGCATCTTCCCTGCTAGTCGGGGTGCCGGTACCACGACGCAACATGACATAGCTCGGTGCCCCGCAAAGCCGATAGCATCGGCTTGGCCTTTTCGACGGCACTATTATCGACCGAGATGGCCTAATGGTAGTACCAATGTCACGCAGTCCATCATACAAGTGTGTCTTGTGTTCTTGCTATTACTTCTGCTATGGTCATTGTTACTAGTTAAGAGACGAGTGACAAACACCAGTATACCACACAGTATACTCGACCTCGCCTGCGGACGTGGAAATATTAGTCAAAGGAAGACTTACCGCTATCATCAACGTTAGTGCAGCATTACGAAACGACCCAATAATAACCAACAACTCTGATTCTTCGATGACGACGGAGTGGAGCAGCCGTCTGGTGGCGCTACAGTTGTCCGAGCGCATCGGGCACGTTCAACGATCAAGCGGTGTATAAACATAGCCGTGGGAGCATTCGAGCAGATCCCCAGAAAATCGTTTACCATCAAATCACTCTATAAGATAGTGTTATCTGTGCAAGCATTAGTAGCGTGGCGACGGGCGTTGCAACTGTTGATTTTTGCGCCTGCGCCTGTTTGTAACGGCCATTGTTCGCGTGGCCATTCTTCCGTCAACTAACTGTGCTTGATGTTGTTACGCATCCTTCCTGCTGGAACGGATTCGCGATGATTCTGAGCTCTGACTTAAAGTGACTAAGTGCGGAAGTTACGGAGGCGACAGTTGAAAACAGGAGTCACACGTTGTTGGATACGTGCTTCACTTCCCCAGAGCAGCTGCCATCGCAGTTGGCTACTGCTACAACTAATGCCTTTTCATTAAAATGGGCCACTAATAGGTATTCCTTCCTTCGCTACATACAATGGACCCTTTTAGAAACATCTTCTTCACTTTTTGTTACTGGAAAAATCACACTATCAGTAGTTCTGGCAAACTGTAGTCACCCGACGGCCTGTCAGATTAATATCTCTGAAGGTGCAGTTTATATTCGACTTGTACGCAGATCCTGAATTCGATCAGGCATCTTTAGGGCTAGATGAATGTCGTACGAAGTTGCTAGGAAGCCGAGTACCCGTTTGCCTTCAAGATCTGTATATACCCAGATAACAATAACGTACTAGTTGCTATATATTGTTCAAACTCTAGAGAGTCCTATCTTTATGAAAACTGCTTTTTCGCAAGGCAGGATGATTCATGAGAATACAATGTTATTTACGCAACACGTACGTTATTGTTATTGTTAGTTGGAAATTAACTTGTCAAAGACGAGATGGCCCAGAGTACTGCGGTAGTATAATAAAATTTGCATAGTCAATACAATAGTCTGCTGGCAAGGTCTACATGAAGTAACGGGTTTCCATGTGAAAAATATTCAAGGTAACCACTTAATTAGCGTGTGAAGACTCCGCCGTAAAACACAGGTATGATTAAAAGGCCAACTGGATCGGCTGAAGGAGCGACGAAGACGGCGGGACGGTTCAGATGGCAGAATACGTTCAGTCAGTCGAATGAGTAACATCAAAGCCGGTACAGATTATTACACACGTTCCCATAGACAAATGTATATGTTATATCAATTGAATAGATTATCAGACGGTTAAACGGAAGCAGTTTTACAGGCAGGCAGGCAGGCAGGCAGGCTGGCTGGCTGGCTGGCTCAACGAACAATAGTCTATATAGTAGTACAAATAAAACGTACGGAGGCAACGGTCTGAAGATTATTTGATTTACGTCTGTCAATATGGTCATTTGTGATATAAATTCCAGTTCGATAAAGAGTAGCAACTGGTCTCGCTGTGTGCTACCCTTGATCATATGCAAATAAATAGATGATGAACTTTCGATGGTAAATAAGATTAACACAATTAACTCTCAACAATCGGATATACCCACATAGGCTTAGTTGGGGAGTTATATGGGGCTGGGAATCTATAACTAACTTTAACTGGTTTACTAATGTATCCATAAAAAATACGTTGTAAGCGTCGCACGTTGGCTACTGATCTATTTTATCGGAACAACAGAAGATATCGTTAGCTCGTGAAGGTGTTTAAAGCTACCACTGATCGTTTGGTGACTCGTTTTACCCAAATGGACAGAAGCTTATTTTTTAATCGTTGTGTTGATTAGGATTAGCTCTGGTACGCTTGTTACGTACATTTACCTGCGTACGTACGTACGTACGTACGAGCGAGATATCTTAGCAATATATATATATTTGTCCTAACACCAAGCTGTTATCCCGATTTTTTTTGCTGTGTCTTCGCAGCATCGGTTAGATTTAGAATTTGTGTCAATACAAAATGTCTACCCGGTGCGTCCGCTGGCCAAGCCCTCTATGGCAGCCCCTACTTATAGGTAGCGTAGCAAAACGTATAAAATCTATAAATGCATAATAAACAGAGAACAGCTTGAACATGGCTTCGTACCCCTATCCGTTGCAACCTACCGAGTAGTGAAAGTTGACATATTGAGACGATCGCCAGTCTTGCCGCAGTCAACAATCAATATCTTCTGAAGGGTAAAAAAAATTATCGAAATGATCGAATATCAAAAGCTTGAACTGACCACGTCGTCGATTCTGTGTATTACGCGCCGATTAGGTGGCTTCCGTTAGATAAATTTTATGTTATGGTACCGTCGTCACAGAAAAGAGCAGCAATGGCTAGCGGAAGGAATAATAAATGGATGTGTCCAGCCGTATTTCCGGCCTGCAGGACGCGTTCAGGCGTGAAAATGTTCAATAAATACGACTAACTGAGTCTCAATGAGCCATCGGTCCGATCAGAGCCGGAGGCAAAATTCACTCCTCAGTACTCATAATCAGACACATCAGATTGTAGCAGCGGGATAATGTTAGATAAATAAACTATTAATTAGGTCAATTATTAAATGACCTATATATGTGCCGAAAGAAAGTAGCTTGACTGAATTCTAATCGGTTGCTTTACTTATTATAAATGTGTCTTTTGCAATGCTACAAACGTTAGAGCCAGAGTTCCGCCGCTCATTGACTACTTGAAATTAGTCGTATAATACGATTCTTCGCCGTGTCACGTTCATTGTTTGCGCCGAGATGCTGTACCCTAAGAATCAGTCGGTGTCAATCCTATCTTCTTCGAATTGTTCCAACGATACTCCTAGTGTACATCGTTTATCTGATAGTGAACAATAATTTCGGGACGGACAAACGTATGTCGGCGGCAGAACGCCGAGCTCAGCCATCCATTGACAGCCGCCCTCAGTTATAGGAGTGGGCGGAAATGGAAGATTTGCCATACATTTTATAAACATTTTTCTGTCTTCAGCCTTTGTCTCAGCGCCACACGGATGATGCCATCCGTTTCGTCGGCGAGTGGCATTGCTGTAGCCCAACTTCGACAGCTACGGTACCATCCTATCATATTCTGATACAGAATGACTGAGTATAACTCCTGTTAAAGCAGAGACGACTTTCTCTTTGATTCGGGTGTACATGAGTTGGACTGTGAAGTCGCTGAGGATCCGGACACCCGCAAAGATACGACCAGATCCACAATAATCGTATTTCTTGTTCGTGCTAGCCATACGTATTGGGCAAGGGTTCGCTGACAACAAAAAGGAAGTCCCACTGTTTATCCGCTAATGGTGGTACCAATAATATCACAATATAACTGTTACTGTCGTTTGTGCGTCGCGCGACAACTGCGATTTTCGGTGTTTTCTTTCGCACCCAATGGTTTCCGGCCGAGTCCGAGCGGTTGATGATGATTGGTTGGGCTTCGACCCAATTTTGACACTCCAATGATTTGGTCGTGTCATCGATAATCATGCACAATTTAAGGATTGTGCCATCATCCAATTTGACATCATGGACCTTTTTTATTGTCCATTCGTACATCGATCCCGATGCGGCTGCCAGTAACTGCTTTAATGTTGAGATGATTTCATTTAGCAGATGTGCGCCCCTCTATATGTACATAAATGTGCGTGTGTGTGGGTATATTTTCGTACGCCAGTACTTAGGCCTTGCGCATACAAACACGTAACATAGGATAGACGAAAAAATCGAAATTTATTTTAGACCAGCCGTGGTGGGCATGTTTGCTAGCAATGCTTTGCTGAGACGCGTCTTCGCGTTCGCTTGTGTCGACGATGCCACTGAATCAGTTGATTCCGATCGTACACACATGCGCACAGCCATGGCTCAAAAGGTGCTTACACTACGGTAGTATTGCAACGTATTCAAAATGATTATACCCGTTTACAGCAGTGTTGCAAAGGCGCTTCCGAACACTTTGCAATCGATGGAGAAACGCAGAAACGTACACAATAGCGAAGGTCGTCGAACAACGAAGACGCCACCGCTGGCACTGACGCTGCGCGCTTCCGACACCCCCGCCCACGACGCATTTAGGGTAGAGTAGTAAGTAGTTGTCGTTTTTGATGTACGCCATGCGACTGGCTTGGAACAGTACACTTTGCGCGGTCCGTTTAAAAATACACTGTTGGCCTAATCATAATGGTGGCGATAAGATCAAGGTTCATTCATTGACAAGGACGGCAAAAATCAGCACTTATATCGGACCATAACTGGATCCAGACGAATAGAGAATATCATCCAGGCCTCACGAGAATGAACTGAGCCGTTTGCTCCTCCGTGGAGGATCATACAATGACACAAACTAGCGGGTTGTGCACAACAACATCGGTGCCGTTACCAATAACAATGCAGGCACGCGAATCACGCGGGGGTGTCCGTCACGATGCCGGATTTGGGCTTGTTGTGCAGTGTAGTGGGGGTGTTGCGAAAACGACCCGAAAGAAGCAAAAAATGTTAGAGGACAATACGAAATAATAATGCAATTCAACAATTACATCAACAATGAATGAGCGGTTTTCTGGCAGAGCGCTTCTGCTAGTCCTCGTCGTCATTTCGCTTATGGTACGCTTATACATGATATCTCCTCATTGGCATTGTCGTCGTCATCATCCAGCCTTAGAAATCTCGTAGAAGAGGCTCCTTCGACTGCTTCTATTGAGGTATCGAATACAACACAACGCAATATAGCCGCATGGATCACCTAGCACTCGCTTTAAATCTCTCCTTCTTCTTTTTAGCCACTGCCTATCCACCGACGACTCGTCTAACGGTACTCAGTGAAGTTTCCCTCAGACCCTCATGATTTCTTCGGTAGGCCTATGTAGCGTTTTAGTAAATGCAGCAACAACGAGTCCAACATGACCGGTGAAGATCATGTCAGCGAACAGTCGTGGTTAAGTGGCGAGGACCAAGCCATAAAACCAGAAGCACTAGTTTCTCTGTTTAATAAAAAGGCAAAGATGAGGTCGGTGCACCTCACCTCTACCTCAATACCGTGTATTCCTAACAAAGCAGCGACCTCAAGGTAGATTGAAGTATGAACTCGCTTTTTAAGGACAGCACAGAGTTCTTCCTTTCTATAGCTTTTTGTCGATGTATGCACCGGCAATGATCTTCTCAAAGGCCACCTCTTAGCCAGTGCGTGGTGGCTCAGTTGGTTTGGGCTAGGCTGCCGGGCGCGTGCATTTCCCTCTGTTCACTGTTCCGGACGCACAAAGGACTTCCGTCGGCCTTCGGCAATCCGCCGAAAGTGGAGGCGGAGTGGGAGTTCGCAGTAGTAGCTTCGTGAAGGCGAAGCTCTAGAGCGCCGGTGCTCAGTGGCAACAACAACCACAGCGATAACGATAGCGACAACAGCAAAGATGGTGCCACAAGCACATTAACCATAAAGGCTTAACCTGTATAATGATGCTGAGCCGTTAAATAACCTTGGTCGTGTTCGTGGAACAAATAAGCAAATCGCTGACGGTGGTACCGAAAGTAATACTATTCGAGGGACAGATAAAGAGAAAAAGTATCTCACTTTAGAGAGTCTTAACTGCGAAGCTTGGAGAAGGTCGACGAATAGGTGACTTGCATAGAGTTCCTCTATTCAACAGAGTGGTACACGCGGAATTGCTCGAGTTATCATTGTTCGTGACTAGGCGGAGCAATGGCGGAAGAAGGATCAGATCTCGGGTCGAACATTGCTGGCGAAGATACCTATTATGATTTCATTGCAAACGCTGCAATTTATCAGATTCGATTGACTGTTGATCGTAACGAAACTTCCGCTTTCCTCCTGGTCGTCTGCGACCGAAATAGGCAGAACAGTTGTTGAAATTCTCGGACCTTCTCCCCCAAATGCGAATGTATACTGTCTGCTCGTCATTTACAGGATTGAAGCAGCAGGTAGAAAGAGACTAGAAAAATCAGTTGTATGGCAACGAATAAATAGAGAAAATAGAGTTTGTAAGGATTACTTCTACCGGGTAGTGGGTGTGGCGTTCATAGCCATGTTCTGAAAAACGTAACAGTCGGAAATCCTCTGATTATATAGAAGAAGAAACATTCAGGCCCTCGTTTTCTGATTCGCTACGCCTGCTGTTTGTTAAACGTTTATAAACTCAACGTAGCTAATTTTTAAAAGCTGTATAGGCACTAAGAGATTTCTAGTTATACATGAAGAGAATAATTATTTATTTGTTACCCAGAAACAGACCACTTAGCTACTAAGCCCGTTACGATTCTGCACGTTGCACACTGTTGGATCACAACAAGTATGATAAATGCTTATATGGCGTATGGTGCATGAGATGAGAATACATAGACGGGACCTGCATCTTTTCCAATAATATGCTCGTACTCTGATAGGATTGTTCGACTAGGAGGAGGCTAAACGCACCGAACGAACGTGCTACGAGATTTTCTACTGGAGATCTGCTGACAAGATGAAAACAAAATATACTAGCTTCGTCCGATGACGAATCGATGCCCCTAAGAGCTGTCAAAACTGCAACCCAGAGCTAGGACGCCTGCTAGGGCTGGTCGACGGGATCTTGGTGTCATAATTCTTCGTTAGGCTGGCGAAAGCAGAAACAGTGGACTATTAGCTATAGAGGGGGCTTTCGTTTACCATAATAGATACATGCATGCAAAAAAAAGTATTTTGTTTTTGCGAAAAAGAAAAGGAAAACGAGAAACAAAGGTAAATGTCTGTTTAGGTCCTTTTAACTCTGCTTCCCGTGCCCTTAAAATGCATCTCTATCAGTGGGGTATACGGAGGCTAGACAAGTGAGCCTAAGAGCCCACTTGACACCTTTGCCATAGCAGAGGCCATGACAGAAACAGTTTTTTTTACCTCAAACTGATAGCCTGCCCCGTATGCAATGTTGACTCTTGTTACGAAGCCATCCGTGAAAATTACACTTTTAACCGAGATTATTCCTTTTTACTTCGTTCTATTGATTCTCTCCGCTATCCAATTCCCATTCCGAAATCGTCGGCGTCGCCCGGCCGCTTTGTGGACCTCCTGATAGCCTAGATTACTTGAACTACTCTGGATGTGTATCGTCGACTATGCGTATGTATTCAGAAAAACTTCGCCTTCTCCAGTGTAGCACGATCAGCACTGTCAACATTGCGATAGTGGTCGCTTTGCCTAACTCGGGCAAATGAGCTCTCCCTAGCGCTTTTCTTTCGCTTGATCCGCAGCGAAAACACGATTCACTGCCGGAATCCACCGAATATGGCAACACTGTACAAAAATAGATGAAAGACAGAAAAAGGATGCAGGGAAAGGAGACTGGCTGTTGTAGGCGATGCACAAGCTCGGACTAGGGATCTATGGGCGAGAAGAAAAAAAGGGTAAAATCGTTGGGTAGAAAGCAAGTAAGGTCGAATTGGTTCGAGCGTCAGCTGGGCTTATGCGCATCGGTCGCTCGAACAGACAGAATCAGCTTATGGCGTCGCGACGAGCATGCGCCGCCCACATGCAACCCCTTCACTTCTACGACTGCCGTTGCTACTACTACTACTACTACTACTACTACTATTACTACAACAACAACTACGACTACGAATTCTACGACCAGTCCGACAACTCTGCGAATTCAATGGAATTCTTATTTGCGGGGGAGGGAGGAAACGAGCGCGCAGGAGAGAGCGTATGGCCGACCGATATATGGCGATTTTGAATGTCATGACGAAAACGAACGGGTTTAAACATCACGCGTTGCTACTGCTCTTAGTGTCTTACTGCTGTTTCTCATGCTGCCATCCGACGTGGGACTCATACGCTGTAGATTAGGCAGCCAGGGCCGACCAACAGTGCTACCTCGAATTCGGCAAAAAACGAAAGGAAAATTGAGCTAGTCAGAGAGGGTATAGTGAAGAGGTTGGAGGTGGCGAGGACGGGGATCAGGGGTCGGAAAACTGGCCTCGATCTCTGTACCCCTCGTATGGCCCGAAATGCTGCCATTGCCGCCGGTGAGCCATTTCCTACGAACTGTACGCGTACCAGAGAACATCTTTGTATTAGAAGCTAAGGGGGTGAAATGGCTTCGAACGTCATAGTCGGCTCGTGACGACTCTGGCATAAAGCAGCGTGCTTACTTATCCCATTGGTACACCCAATACATAGAACAGAGGATGGAAGAAACGAATTGTATCTTTGTTCCATAACGATATGTATATAGGTTCTTTTCTCGCGGATCCTCTCAGCTCGATCTGATTTTTGAGTCCATCGACTATAAAGAACTTTGCCGTGCAGGAAAAAATCATCGTCCTTTGGTAGTGGTTTCGATTTATCGGTGATCTGACCTGACCGAAGTAGCTTAGCTGCATTCTTAGAGAACATAAGGGTTCGCTGTGCCGCACAGTCTCTGACCGTAGTACTGCGTACTCCATTGAATTTTCAGGAATTACAGACGTAGTTAACGGGTAACAACAAAGGAATGAAAAAGAGCATTAGATCAACTTGAAATAGAGCGACACGTAACGTCTAATAAATGTAGATAACTTGTTTAAACCTGGATTGAGCTTGTAAATCTCGAATATACTCCGCAAATATGGCGCGGTAACATTATCTTGGCCGAAATAAAGAACTCTTACAAATAGCCTTTAAGAGTCATTTGGCGAGAAAACGCGAAATTCGATAAAATTCATCTTACGGTTGTAGTTAATCTTTAGCAAAGCAGGGAAAAACCCTTTCGCATTTCTTGCACGGCATCGGATCATACGCATGGCCCTATTTACCCAGCGGAATTTAGATTTATAGATTTATAAGCTACTCAAACACACGACCAGCGCATAAAAGAAACAAATATTCCATTCTTAAACACCGAAGTTGTTGCAATTCGCCAGTTTTCTTACAAGTCGTTATACATAGCCCGTCGTTGAAGCACGTATTTCTCTATCGCCTTGTGAGAAATAGATAGGCTGGCCAACACTTTCGGTCATGATATCATCCTACATGTATAGGGAGTCCTGGGAGGACGGTTCGTGTACGCAGTGTAAGCTGCAGCTATTTAGGTGAATGTCGACGGGGGGAGGGGAGGTAGAACTGCTACCATCTGGAATGGAGGAGCAACCCCAGATGAGACATCGGGAGGTAAAGGGAGGGGCGACTTGCACCCAGTATCTATGGCGACGCCCATTTGGAGTAGATGAAAGGGAAGCGTTGTTCTGGGGAAGCATTGGGTCTTAGGCCGAGGGCGGAGCCTAGCTTGCAAAGGGAGACATCTTTATGTCGTAACTTAACATATATAATAGGTTTGTGGGCTGGTTTTGAGGTACAGCTGGCAGGAAGCCCTGTACAAAAAAAGAAAACTACGAATTACGACACAAGTCGGATTACGAATCGTCTTTTGAGTGTTTGGTTTAAATGTAAGTTGGTCATGATACTCTGTGATTCACTAACCTAGGTGACATTGGTCGAGCGTATATTAGCACAAAGGCAAGTGGATAATGAGATAATTGTATGCACATTCTTATTATTATGTACAGAGATGTATAAATCGCACAGCTTTCGTACGAGCTGCTTTTTTCTTAGGTGGGGAATATTTGAATTATTGCTTGCAAGTTAGTACATACATGTACCTAAGTAGGTAAAGCTTTAATTTAAGTCAGTAGGCTCTGTCTCGTGGTAAAATCCTACCTCGGAAATCCTAGCTGAGAGTAGATATTTAAAACTACAGAAAATAAAGGCTATTTCAAGACGTTCTGGCACAAGATTGGTGCTCTTCGTATATAGTGACACATGAACCATATTGCACGCTATGGCTCATGTGTCACTACGCATTTCGCTATCGTAACATGAATATGGCCACTCGGATCTTCCTTGGCACTATTTCAATTATACAAAAGCTTCTAACTAACTGGTTACCAAATGAACTGTTTAGTGCACGGCGTTAGCAAGCGAGCTAACTAGGCGACATGTTGGGTATCAATTAAACAACTTTAGTGTCCCAAGCTGTAATGTCCGAGTCGCCTTTCGATCGACGACGTCCATCTTCTATATCTGGCTCTCTGCCTTAATTAATAGCGGATTAATCGTAGTAGTTGTCGTGTCATAAAAATAAGCGACCTCATATATCGCGATCAACTTCACCTTTACGTTCAGGTATACACCTTTTGCCTTCAGTGACAGCGCAATGACAGCAGCAGCGGCATCAGAGTAGCTAATGGTCGTTTGCTATTAACGACTGCGTGGTGCGACTTAGTCGCACGGTGAGAACGTCCACCAGTCCAGCAGCCATCAATCCATAGCCATGAAGCCGCCGAGGCAATACGGAAAAGACACGGTAGCACTCGATGAGGTTCAATAAAGCCCAACTGCCGCGACAGCTATAGCAGCAGCGACGAAATCGATTATTACTCCGATCTCCAAACATATCGCGTCGCAAATATAACCTGTCTTCCTGAAGTTTGCGATACCTAATAATGTACCTTATCCCTGCGCCTTTCCTACTGACAGCAAACAAAAGAAGCTATAATTGTACCGGTAGGACCAACGTGACGCAGAAGGAGGAGGACACAGAAGTGATGACCAATTCGCAAAGAGCGGATGACTAGAGCTAGTACCATATAAACTCGCTGTTGGAGCTTTTACATGCTTGTTCGCGACTTATCATAGAGAATCACCTTCGAAGGTCTGCAGTGGCAATGACGCTGACCTAGTTGACCAGCTTTTATTCAGCGGACCATATGTTTACCGCTCGAAAAGGCAAAATAACGGTTGGGCTGCATAGAAACGTGAGAAAAAGCTTACAACGAGTTTTTCCTCTAAATTTAATGGACGCACTTGCACTAATTTCATTACACCATCATCCTACCCATATACGCTGTACCCTGTAAGTCTAACAAGCCAGAACGTCACTCGGCATTAAAACGCATCGGGCAAAAAAGATTCTGATCG